GGGGCTGGAGTGTGTCCAGAGAAGGGCAACAGAGCTGGGGAAGGGTCTGGAGCACGAGTCTGATGAGGAGCAGCTGAGGGAGCTGAGGCTGTTTAGCCTGGAGAAAAGGAAGCTCAGAGGAGACCTTATTACTCTCCACAACTACCTGAAAGGAGGCTGGAGCCAGGTGGAGGTTGGTGTCTTCTGCCAGGTAAAAAGTGACAGAGCAAGTGGAAACAGCCTCAGGTTGCACCAGGAGAGGGTTAGTGCCAGGTCTAGTTGACTTAATGCTGTTTGGTCATAGCTTTGACATGATGATCTCAGAGGTATTTTCCAATCTATTTGATTCAGTGATATGAGAAAAAATTTCTTCATGGAACAGGTGGTCAGACATTGGAACAGGCTGACCAGGGAAGTGATAGAACCACCATCCTTGCAAGTGTTAAAATACCTGTGTGGATGTGGCACCTGGGAACATGGTTTAGTGGTGAACACGGCAGTGTCAGATTAATGGCTGGACTTGATGCTATTAGACCAATCAGTCTCTTCCAGCAGTAACAATTCTATCAGTCTATGATTTTTCACTTTTCCTATTTAGGCAGAAGCATAAGATAGAAATGGATGTGAGAGAGGTGGGAAGCAAGTCTGGTGTCCTAAATGCTAGCTCTAAAGCAGATTTTCTCACATGTCAAGTCACTTAACTTTTGTTAAGTGCCAACTAACTTTCCTCTCAAGTAAAATGTTTGGTGAAACTCAATTTGTATTTCTATAAAATGGACAGAATGTAGCTATCAATTTAAGAAAAGTTATAGAGGAAGAAAACCCAATCCAAAAATGAAACTTTTCATTTAAAATGTCACTGATTACATTAATATCTGCTACTTAGAGCCTCTGCACTGGAAGAGTGGCAGCACCAGACCCCAAAGGGATGGTAGACTCTTGTACCTTACTCCTTACCCTCAGAACTCCTCTGCAGAGCTGAAGATCCTGGAAGTAGCCTTACTGGTAGCCTAAATGATCACCAAAGTATGGCATTTAGTGATGCAACTGAATAAACTCCCATGGCAGTAATCTTTCCTATATATGAATATTTCAGCTGCAAGTAGCATTGGGAAAATGGTTCAGTTTTTGCATGCAAAGCCTTCTAAATGTTAAGGATTTTTGTAAAGGTAACCCAGCATCCTCTGCAGTGTGTCTAATTAGTATTTAACTGGCATGCCTATTTATTTTAAAATGCATATTATTTCAGTATCTGTAGGTCTCAGCTTCCAGTGGTATTTCCTAATACTTTCTATGGCTTTCCAAGATTATATCAAGTTTTACTGAATTATAGCTCTGGCTCTATAAATAATATTTGGGTTGATTTAAAACAGACCTGCAGAAACAACATTGTCTCTTCTGGCTTAAAGCACTTTTTGGAAGTTGAATGGCTGATCTTTGTTTTACTGTTGCATATTCTCAGATTTCTTGAGTTACTGGAATCCCAATGCATGGGACTCGTGTTTGACCAGGTTCACACATGCAATGGATAAATATGCCCTTTGGGGAACACCCCTGCATTCAGAGGAACAGACTTTCAGACCAGCCAGTCACCCACACCAGGGCTGCCATGGTGTAAATGCAGATGGTACAGGCACAATGTGAACAGCAATCTGGATGCCAAAGAGTGAATTTTTTGTGGAAGACAAGAGCTGACACGTCTGCATTCTCAATGTGTTTGTTTTATCATATGCCCTTGGCGGTACGATTAACCAGCAAAGCGTACAGGCTGAGAACAGCTCCCTTCGTGCCCTCCTCTGCAGTGGATCCACATGGCTTATTAGTTTCATCATTCCCAGTGGAGAGGATTAGATGTAAGAAATCTACCCAGGCCGGATGAGAAGAGAAATGCAGAGGGGAGGGCAACACACAGAAGAGCACAGTCCCATCCTAAAACTGCAGGAGAAGACCCATGAGGAACAGGAGATAAACCTACTGCCCAACTGCCCTGGGGGTTGAAAGCTCTCTCCACAGTAATTGCTTGACCAGTGCTCCTGAGGGCTGTCTCTGCAAATTCAGTACCTGGCTCCCTCGGGGATGAAGAAATGTGGAGCCATTTGCTGTGTCCTCCAATCCTGGTGAGAGGTTTGCATAGTCTGATCCCTTTGTTATGCTGACTGCCCTCTACTCACTCCTTAACCTGATTTCCCATTCAGCTCTGCATCCAGCGAGGGGAAATGAAATGCAGTGCTGCTTTGTGCATTTTAGTCATCATTAATCCTACTCCAAAAATATTGTGCATTGCTCTACTGAAATCAGAAAACAAGCAAGAGCAAGAGAGCATCCACTCACCAGCCCTGACTGAATATGTCAACCCATATATTATTATCTCAGGAATTCTCTTAAGGAAACTGGTTTACAAAAACATAATGATTTAATGTTGCATTTATAAAAACACATTTCAAAAAGCTGTGAGTGCTCAGCTCATAGCTGCAGCTGTTAAGGGCTTTGTAACTACAAACATGTAAAATATTTCTGTTGGTTTCCACACATCAGTAACTATAATAGATGATAAACTACAGTTAAAAGAGCCTCAAAGAACCTTTTATTGCTCATTTCCTCATTGCTCTCCAAGGAGCTTCACAAGAGATAACCATCCCTTTTTATCCTTTAGACTTCAAGAAATGACACAGCCGAGAATAAATTCCGACCATTCTGTTGGTCAGGATGTGGTAATCTAAAAACCACAGAACTAATAATAGTTAAATAAAGCAACACTCAAATAAAATAAAAAACCCTCCCTTAACTATTTCAAATATTTAAGTATTACAGCAATAAGCATTTATTGTTGAGTATTTCAATTTCCCACCTTGGGAAACGGCACCTCATGGAAGCAGGTATAGTAGAAAAGGCACCTCTGTCTTTCTGTGGGTTTTCCATGGTGCATACAGAAGGTTTAACCAAATCCAGGTGTCCCAATAAAGATATAAACATCAAGTTTGGGCTTACATTTGAACAAAAAGGATCTAGGAACCTGTAGTTTAAAGAAGTTAGCAAAGATTCATCATGCCATTTATC